TTTGGCTTAAGAGCCATCCTGACTACTGTAAACTTATTTATATGGTTCTTAGCCGCTTCCAGATCCGTCTGTGTGTCTCCCAAGGCAGTTTGAGAATGAGTGGGTGGAGTTAAGGTGAGTTAGGGCGAGAGTCGTAGAAGCCGCCCAAGCCCGCCCATTTGAGCCCGCCCACTGCTGGTGGAAGGTTGCATGTGGCAGAGGCAGAAATGGGGAGGGAGAAGGGTTTAGAGCTTTAGCAGAAAGCTTGGGAGTAAAGTAACTCTTTTATTTGCCCGTTTCCTGGCAGAAGTTTCTGTGAAGCTATTATGCAGCCAGATTTACCGGTACCTGCCCCTGTCCGCCAATGTAAGTGGTAAATGTATCTGCCCCTTTGTCCATGGCTGTAGCTGAGAGAAAAATAAAAAATTAAAATAACAAACCGGGGTCAGACTCCAATCTTGGGCGTCCCCAAGGAGTGGAGAGAGATCTAAGAATCAGCTCAAGTTCCCATCCTCTTCATCAAGGGATGGGGAGGGCTGCAGCTGCGCTGGAGTTGGTCCATGGTGGACCTGAGACAGCATTGACCCCCTCATCAGGAGCGAAAATGTGTCTGCCGTTGTCAGCACAGCCCGAGGACAACCCCCGGGGGGTGTCCGTCCCAAAGAATATAGCTCAGACTACAGCCTCGAGAATGGCGGACTCACTTGCTGTGGGGAAGAAGGAAGAACCATGGCGGTAGCAGCAGTGGTAGCTGTGTGGGTCCAGCGGAGGCGAGGGACGGATGTGCGCTCGAGGTCTCAGGGTCTTGCTGGAGGGGGCAGTGGCAGCAGGTTCTCATTGATCTATCTGGGTCTGAACGGCACCAGATGTTGGTTAAGCGGCTGCGCTCGAGGCTGGCTGCCATGCCGAGGGAAGATCATGCTGGATGTTGCAATGGCGGAAGAATCATGAGCCATGGTTATCTTTCTAGAGCTTTATTGAAAGAGAGAGAGAGAGACAGAGAAAGACAGAGTACGGAAGGAGAGAGTGCAGAAAGAGGGCACAGAGAGGGCACGCCCGCTTTTCAGGCGGGGACAATCGCAGGCTGGTGACGTGATTAAGGACATAACCCTTACACAGGCAGCTTGAGAGAAAGTAAGTCAGCTGGGACATCTCGACCTTGGGTTCCCAGAAGGTCATTTTGGGTAATTTTCCATGGGATTCTCATCAAGGAGGTCAAATTTTAGTTAAATCTGAGATGGCCTCAGTCAGAATACAGATGGCGGAGCTTTAGCAGAATTAGCAAATAAGCAAGAGCTCGTTAGGAGTCCTGCTTATCACAGCTTGTACCTGGTCTTGGCTGATGCTTTCACATCACTTTCTTTTATGCATAACAGAACTCAGTCTTCACCTGAGCACTGAGAGTGGCCCACAAGAAGTAAGAGCTGAGCTGCTCCTGAAGGCTAGGACGCCTCAGCCGCATCTGTTACAGGGTCTTCACCAGTAACTTTGTCAGCATTTGCCTCACCAGGAACAGAGTGGTCCTCCTGGGGTGGTGTCACAGGTGGATGGGGTGGGGACTGCAGTGTTGATGCTTGGGGTTGAAGAGCCAGCAGGCAGGGGGGAGTGGGGGGTGGTTGTGGGGAGGAGACATGGACACCACTGCCATCCTTCCTCCTGAGGTGGTCACTCCAAATCCATCTAAAGCTCCAGTGTGTGCAGGACCTGGCAGCCTGCCTGCAGCCTTTGTCGTCTAGCAGTCAGGGAAGCTCATGAGGAGGCAGTCTACTGGCCAGCATGTGCTTTCATGGAGAGAATTCATTCCACTACTGCTGGTAGTGTGAGAGCCAAAGTTACATTTTAAGTTTTAATTATTATGCCTAAGAGATCCATGAAATAAAAATACCTCTGATCTGCAGGCGCCTTGCCCAAGGACAGATAGTTCCTGAAATGCTGGAGACTACTGTTCATGGGAGATAACAAGTCCTATGTTTCCCAATCCCCTAAATAAGTTTGTTTGAGCCATCTCACTGATGTGCTTGATGACATGTGGGTGGGAGGTTCCAGGCAGGAAATACGTCAGAGTGTATGTTTGCTTCTGATGGGGTGTAGGCTTGAAGTACGTCAGGATGTATGCGTACCCCTGATTAGACCTGGTGGGAAATACCTAAGCCACTGTAAACCCTGGTTTGGGGTCACCTTCTGGAAACCCAAAGACGGACCTGGCTAGAGCCCATCTACCTGGCCAGTATTCAATTAAAGCTTGCTTCAAATTTGGCTTTAAATTATGGTGGTGGTCTTATTCTGTATGGCGGGGCTAATGGAAGATAAGTGTGTGTCACGTTTTCTTGCAACTAAAATGTGCAGAACTCGTCATTATTTCTATCAGTTACTCGTTCTCAGAATCTAACATGGCCGAAAAGACAGTGAATTATCTTTCGTTTTATCACTTTATTCATCATATGTAAGTGAATCTGGGTTTTTTGTTATAAATATTCATTATTGTCCAATTTTGGTCATTTTTTTTCAAGGGGCTGAAAACACAACATTCTTTTACAAAACTTAATTTCTCTTGACACTTCAAAGAATATCTGAGAGAAAAGCAAACAGACAAAACTTTTGTAGTTCCTTCCGAAGGTTGTCTAACCAGAGGGAGTGAACGAGGATCAGTAAAGCGGACTTCCGTTTTATTCCGACTGCCAGGTCAAGGCTTTGACAATAGGTCTTATGTGTCTCCACAAGTATTCGGAAGCTCTTCCCACCGTGTTTTCACTTTGACGTAGAGGAAGGGAACTAGGCATAGAGACAAGCTTCTGAATTTTAGCCAGGCATGCTTGTGGTCCCCGTATTTGGGAGGTGTAAGCAGGGAGATCAGAAGTTCAGCATCGTCGTCAGCTACACGGAGGGTTTGAGGCCAGCCTGTATTACCCCCGACCCTGTAGTTTCAGAAGTTCAGTCCATTATCATCATGACAGGGAGCATGATGGTGTGCAGGCAGATGTGGTGCTGGTGAAGTGGCTGAGAGTTCTACATTTTATTTTGGTAATTTTTATTAAAGGCTCACTGTAAAACCAAAACGTTTTTTATTTTCTTCTTCTTTTGTGCTGATGGGACCTAAGACTCCACACATGGTTGGAAAGTCTCAATCAGTCACTAAGTGGTCTCTTTTGATTAATAATTTATTTTTAGGAATACAATTTTATACGTTGTTCGTGTTTACTAGCGTTTAGTTTAAAAAAATGTAGACAAGCCATTTTACACGAAACAACTGATTAGAAGACATTTTTTAGTTACCTGCTACGATGAAGTAGGTTTCTATTCATGCAAAGGCTTATCCTAAGATACATTTAAGAATAAAGGTGAGTTGCAGGGCTGGAGAGATGGCTCAGAGGTTAAGAGTACTGGCTGCTCTTCCAGAGGTCCTGAGTTCAATTCCCAGCAACCACATGGTGGCTCACAACTATCTGTAATGAGATCTGGTGCCCTCTTCTGGCCTGCAGTCATACATGCTGTATACAAAATAAAAAAATAAATCTTAAAAAAAAAAAAAAAAAGCCGGGCAGTGGTGGCGCACGCTTTTAATCCCAGCACTCGGGAGGCAGAGCCAGGCAGATCTCTGTGAGTTCGAGGCCAGCCTGGGCTACCAAGTGAGTTCCAGGAAAGGCGCAAAGCTACACAGAGAAACCCTGTCTGGAAAAACCAAAAAAAAAAAAAAAAAAAAAGGTGAGTTGCCTGGCGGTGGTGGCGCACGGCTTTAATCCCAGCACTCGGGAGGCAGAAGCAGGCGGATCTCTGTGAGTTCGAGGCCAGCCTGGCCCGCAGAGCGAGTTCCAGGGCAGACAGCAAAAAAAAAAAAAAAACCCGGCCTAAAAAAAAAAAAAAAAAAAAAAAAGTAATAAAGGTGAGTTAATTCAGTAAGAACATAAATAGTTCCCAGATACTACAAACACAGCGCAATGCAATCACAGTTTGCTAAACTAGTACGGGCACCACGTGGCTACGGCAGCCGGGAAGGAGCAACGCCGGAACGGTCCCCGAGAGGACGTGTAATGAGCAGGCCCGGGAGTTGCTGGCGGCGCGGTTCCCATGGTGCCGCCGTAGCCGCGGTGCACCGGCGCAGGCGCAGTCTACGACGCCGTCTCCCGGGCGCCGCCGGAGCGGAGCAGAGCTGCAGTGCGCAGGCGCAGGCGGGCGCGGCGCCCTGGTCCCCATGGCGCTGCGGTAGCGGTGCTGGTGCGTGGGAGCCGGGATGAGCGCGTCCGAGGCGGACCGTGGGGCGTGGCTGCTGGTGCTGAGCTTCGTGTTCGGGTGCAACGTGCTGCGGATCCTCCTGCCGTCCCTTTCCTCCTTCGTAAGTAGCTGCCGGGGGGCGGCCGAGGCCGGGACGCCGGGCCTTGCCGCGTGTGTGCTGAAAGGTTTATACCGTCAGGTGGCTCCTAGCTCCTAACAGGTCGCGAGGTTCAACCAACTAACTCCACTCACTGCGCTCTGGAGGGTGGGGACTCCCGGAGCCACGCTTTCAGGCAGCAGGAAGCCTCAGGCAGGACGTGCTGTTAACCCTACTTCCACGATGCAGCCCGGCCATGCATCCTCACAGGTGCCTGGCCCTGGAGCGGCAGATCCCCGGCTGCAGGGAGCCCCTGCTCTCTCCATGGGAAGAAGGAACACTACGGAAGAATCTAAATAGGACATACCCTTCCTGCTCACTCGCGTTTCTTTTTAATTTTAACTTTTATGTGTATGTGTGTTTTGCCTGCATGTAAGTGCATCCCATGTGTGCAGTGCCTTTGAGGCCAGAAGAGGGGGCATTGGATCCCCTGGAACTGGAGTCACAGTTGTGAACCACCATGTCAGTGCTGGGAGCTGAACCCAGGTCCTCTGCAAGAGCAGCTAGTGCTCTTAACCACTGGGTTATCTCTCCAGTCTCTCCCCAATCTGTAGCTATGAAAGATTTATTTATTATTTTATGTGTATGTTCCAAGTGTATGTATGTGTATCATGTGAATGCAGTTGCCTTGTGGAGGCCAGAAGAGACCGTCACATCCTCTGGAACTGAGTTACAGATGGTGTGAGCTGCCACATGGGTGTTGGGAACCCAGGTCCTCTGCAGGAGGAGCAAGCGTGCTTAACCGCTGAGCCATCTCTACAGCCCGTACCCACAGCCCTGGAAAACATTCTTTGTGATAAACTTGGTGAACGAGAACGTTTCCCTGAGCTTTGTGGGCTGTGCAAATCAGCGGAGCCGGAAGAAGAGTCTTAGCGGAGCCGGAAGAAGAGTCTTAGTGGAGCCGGAAGAAGAGCTTAGGAACTCTTAACATGTGGCTGACCTGTGTGACTTGTGACTGATTTGAAGCGGTGACTGTGGGAATTGACCCCGTCTGCAGGTTAGAGTGGAGAGCACCTAGCTGGTGCGCCTACACATTTGGGATCCCAGCAGCCATCTGTGTGTGGGCGGCTGGTGGGAGAAACCGAACCTTCGTCTTCACGTCTTCCTGGAGAAGCCTCTAGTCCTTCGCCCCTGTAATCCACGTGTGTGTTTTGGTAGTTAGAGTTCCTCACGTGTCGGGACAGCAACCCCTCCTGGTTCCTTGTGTAGTTTTATTTTTCCGTCTCATTTAGTGTGTGTGTGTGTTTTTGTGTATGTACAGGCACATGTATGTGTGTGTGGGCGCACACAAGTAGAGGGCTGAGGTTGATATCGGGGATAGTCCTTGGTCACTTTTCTTCTGTCTTATTCATTGAGGCAAGGTCTCAGTAAAATCCAGAGCACACTGATAGGGCTAATCTCATTAACTAGCCTGCTGTGGGGATCCCATCTCCATCTTCCAAGGCTGGAATTACAGAGGGGCATCTACACCCACCTTTTAGGTGGCTTCCTCATGCATGTACAGCAAGAGCTTTAACCACTGGGCCACCTCCCTGCCTTTGTGTGGCTCCTTCTCCTTCCATCCTGTGTCTCACTCCACTTTACCTCACAGTGGAGCTCAGGAAACAGCCCAGTTGCTCAAGGAGTCTGTGTGGGGCTGTCCTCACTCAGTTTGTCATGAGTTTCCAGTAGCCAGCAGATAGGGAGGAGATGTATGTCTTGCCATCTCAGGATCCTCCAGTACACTTTTACAAGACTTGTGTGTGCTCCGTTTCAGTCCTGAGTGTTCGCCCTGGGTGCACAGGCATCATTGTTTGGAGGAAGCACCTGGACTTGACCTGGGCCTGCACGGAGTTCTGTGCTGTTCCTGCAGGAGGTACACCGCCTTGAATCCGCTACCAAACCCTTTGGTAGTGACACCTGGGGTGGTTGCTGGGTCCGGAAGGATAATGCATGATTAATACTGTAGCGGAGTACAGCCCGTCTGTAACTGGTGTTCAGAACAGGGAAGAGGAGTGAGAGATCTCATTTGTCTGGCTGCTGGGTTTCCAGTGAGGGAGCTATTGGGAACACCCTGGTATAAGGACGCCAGAATACTGCTCCCCACAATGGTGAGAGCATCCCCACCCCCTGCTTCTGATTTGAAAGACCAAGTGTGACAAATTGATGACAAGGTTGGGTTGGGATGGCAGCGCTGTGTCTAGGTGTTCAGAGTGTAGCCTTCCTCACTGTGATTCTGAGCGGGTGGTGCCGGTGCCTGTAGTTGGCCTGGCTGGGATTGTTCTGAGGTTCCCTTTGTGTTGGTCACAGCATGTCTAGTTGAGACTGTCGAATGTAAAGTAGGGGACCCAGCATTGTCCTAAGAGAAGGGGACATAGGGTGCACTGTGCACCTCCACGGGAGGCACACTGCTCAGGTGCCCCGGAACTGACGCGTACAGGTGGGGTTGACTCTTCTGAGATGAGGGTCTGATGTTCAGGTGCCCAAGGAACTGGCCTGGCAGAGGTGGGGTGAGGGCCTGAGAGTCGCAGTGAGCAGGTGCCAGCATGAACTTCCTGACAGACCCGGCTTTGCTGGCAGTAGCATTCTGCACACATGCCTCTGGGGCCTGGCTGGGGCAGCTACTTCTCTCACAGTGTGTGTTCAGCACTTTCCAAGTTACCCTTTGCTTTGTGCTTGAAACCTTGGCCAGCTCCTTCTGGGACCCGTCTGGAGCATTTTCCTCTCGTATTCCCTTTCTACAGACCAGCCTCTCAGCAAGGCCCTTCTTTGGGATTATTGTTTATATTTATTTTATTTTTGTTTTTGCTTGTTTGTTTGTTTATGTATTTACTTGAGACAGAGTTTCTCTGTGTAGCCCTGGCTGTCCTGGAACTCATTCTCTAGACAGGGATCTGCCTGTGGCTGCCTCCCAAGTACTGGGATTAAAGGCATGTGTCGCCATGACTGGTTGGGACAGGATTTTGGGGCATAGCAACCGAACAGGATATGCTCCTGGAACCTCAACTGAGAGTGTGTTCCTGGGCTGGTGGGTGGAGTGCTTGGCTGGCAGGGACCTCTACCCAAGGAGCAGGCCTCTGGACTCTGTGTATGGGTCTCATCTCAGGTCCCTTCCAGAGATGAGATGGGTGTGGAGACACACCCATGCTGGTGAGCTGGGCTGTGCAGCTCATACCAGCAGCTTTCAGACCCATCTGGCCCTTGGGTCGTCAGTGATGAGTCAGGGTTTGACCCTTCCCAGAGTGACTCCAAGCTCAATCTTGGGCAAGCGTGTAGGCAGAGTGTATCCTGGCCAAACAGGATTGCAGCAGGAGGCTAGTGTACTTACCCGCAGGCCTCTAGCCTCTGCCCGCAGGGTGGGAAGAAGGAAGCCTAGATTCTGTCCTGTTTCTCGGGTTGTCTCTACCGCCTGAGTCATCTTGATAAAAAATTCACAAACTTGGTGCCTCAGAGTCTTGGTGGTTCTGTCTCCAGGGCATTTGTGAGTCTGAATCACCTAAAGGATGGTTTGTTTTCTTTTGAGACGGGCCCCAGTGTGCAGCTCACGTTGGTCTGGAGGTGGCCATGCACTCCTGGCTGGCTTTGAACATCTGCTGAAGCTTCCCAAATGATGGGGCTGTGGGCGTGCACCTCCAGGCCCAGCTTGCTCCTGTTTCCTGTTTAAGTTCAAACAGACTTTATAGAGACCCTGATTTTTGAAAGATAGTTCTGTAACTT